TAATAAATGATATAAATGGATGAGTTTTACTTTATTTCAGTACTTATTTTCGAAATGATCATCAACTTCTGAAACTACATTTATATTATAAATCGAATTAGACATCTCTTTTACTTTTCAGGTTGAGTTGACATACTTTACTTTACTTTGATCTTTCAAAGTAAAATAAAGGTAAAGTACGACCCAATTCACTCTTTCTCTTTTCTTATTATAATTTCGAATACTTACTTTTAACATAATATCATCTGTTCTTTTCTCTATAGCTGTTGTCACCTGGTCGTATTTATAAAGTGGTAGATTCAGTCGTGATCCAGTAATAACATCCACAGAAATTGTTCTGAATTTCTTTACGATGGTCGGCGATATTGTTGGGGACATTAATTATTTTACTTCTACGACAGATGGATGTCCTCCTTGGTTTATAGCACCAGTAGTACCAGCGAAAATAAGATCGAATTTTGTGCTGCGATCTGATGAGATGTTTATCTTTAAAATATTCGATAACAAACCTGGCGTCGCACAGTTTGCTTTTCACACAGCTTTTAAAAATGGTAATGAACCCACATCAAACAAGGAGCAAAAAAGTCTTGAACTTCTTCGCTTGATTTTATATGATGATTAATAACAACAAGCAACGCTCGTCGCTCGACTCGCGTGATCCTCGACTGTATGGGCAAGTTTTTATGTGTTATTATCGACCCAGTTGAAACAATTGATGACAATACAGAGTATTCTATAACTAACAGCCTGAAAGTAAATTCGTATACATTTACTTAGGGCATACCAAAAGTAGTGGCAGTGGTACTTTAATTTCTTGTAGAAAGCTTAAAGAAACTTTCTTTCTATATAGTCTGATAGAAAAAAGAATGCTCTATTTTTCTATGCCATTTGATCACACTTCAATTAATATTGTGAATAATACATTTTCGATAAGCTCTGTTTTGTTTGCATATGTGCTGGTTCCATGGATACTAATTCTGAAAAATACGAGTGAGTATTTTTTGGATAACTTTTGATAGAAACAAGATAGGGAACTGCAATTTTCACCGTTGGAAAGAGGAGATAAAGATGCACCGAATCGTATACTTTTAACCTTTTTTACATGTTTTTCGTGAAGTTGTCAATTGACCTTTTTAAGACCAACCGATCTAGTAAATTGTTTACAATGAACTTTCAATTATCAAGTATAAATTCAGATCACTAGTTGAAGATCTACAACGTACGAAAGGCTCAGATGAATAATATGTGTTACAGTCGAGCTTCTAATACGATTTTCTAGCGAAATCTGTGAAAAAAATCACTATTTTTTGCTTTTTCAAAAAAAAACCGTTTTTCCGACAGTGAGAAAATTGAATAAAAACAACTTAAGAAATCATATTAAAAAAACCTGTAATGTATGATTCGATGCGTGTTTATCTGCTCTTCCCAGTAGTGAAAATCGTAGCTCTTTATCTTGTTTCTGTCAAAAGTTATCCAAAAAATACTCATTAGTATTCATATAACCAGCACATATGCAAACAAAACAGATCTTATCGAAAATTTATTATTCCCAGTATTAGTTGAATTGTGATCAAATAGCATAGAAAGATAGAGCATTCTTTTTTCTATCAGACTATATAGAAAGAAAGTTTCTTTAAGCTTTCTACAAGAAATTAAAGTACCACTGCCACTACTTTTGGTATGCCCTAAGTAAAATTTCTTTAGAATTCTTCTCAAAACACGGTTTCTAGACAGGAAAATTGAAATAACTCCCACTCGGCTCGGCATATAACCAATGTTTTTATTGTTTCAAAGCTCTTGATCAGAGCTAACTTTTCATCGGACGGCTTTTTGATATTGAATCCCAGGGCTGAGAAAAGCGGGGTTTCCTGTCGTAGAATCACACTTTTTTATGCTTCTTTTGCCAGCATGGTCACAAAGTTGCTCGTAAAAATGAATGGAAAGGAGTTTCAAAATTCCATCAGATAAAGATTTGCATATAGAGGCTAGCTACAATTTGAAACCAGTCCGAGCTCTGTATCCCTTCTATTGACGGACTTATTTCTATTCTCCTGAGAGGTAGAGAAACGAGCTGAGAGTTCGATCTACTCAGGCATATCAAGCTGAAAGTTTTACCATCACTGTTTCTCACCAAGAATAATCATCCCTGAAAATTTCAGCTCGAACGGCAGGTTCAAAGTGGAACTTCATTTCTGAGGCGGGGGGGGAGTTTAAGAAGAATGCAATTTTCCCTGTACAGTAGCCAACATAACAAACAGTATATTTATATTGTTCGAGCTATATGATAGTGGAAATAGACTCAAATACTGAACAATTTACTGCCAAAATGATCAGCACAACAAGGTCTATGGATTCGGAACGTTCCAGTGAAATTTCGACATGGATATAGAATGAAGTGAACAGATCTTTTTACCTTATTTACTAGAACTTGCTGAAAAATTGTAGTATAAAATAGTTTTGACAGTTGTTTCCTTCAAAATCAAAGGTGTGGAAAAAATAAACTAGTGCATCTTGTAGAGTAAGTTTCATTCTAACGAACAAGTAATACCACCACTTCCGTTCATTCCAACTTTCTCATTGACATTTTCGAATACTTTTTCTCTGCAGCGCATTTCATTATGAATAACTAACTCCCACAAAAATGCTCGAAAACTTTTTTAATTCTAAAGACTCCAATGCAGTTTTTCACGAGGAATCTGAATCTGTAATTGGTTTTAAAATTTGAACCAATAATTATTAACTTTCATTGTGTTTTTTATAAGCTACAATTTCCATTTATTGCATAAAAATGCACGGAAGCACAAAAATTTGCAAATAGTGTTTGACCCCTATCTATGTGAAAGTAGGGTCAAATCCTAACAAATCTATTACCAAAATAGTCAGCGCAAAAAGTTCTACAAACTCGGAAAGTTTCAGTGAATTTGGACGTGGTCACTATATCGGCTGGCGATATCTCATGGATATGTTGTAGTTGAGTTTGAAATCTAGTTGAGATTGGCATCACTAAGTTCAGTTTGTTTATATAAAAATTTTTCTAACACATATTCAAAAAAACTTGTTTGTTTCTTATCAAATTTATATTTACTATTACTTCTTAGACAATAAAAAATATCTTCGTACTATTATTTTGTTGATAAACAGCCATTAGTCATTCTATTCATTATTTTGTTGTAAAAGTAAATCTTACTCATCATTTTCCTTGTAATGAAGTTTCTACACCGATGCTCGGGACATTGGGACATTGAATGATTGGTTGAAACGAAATTGAGAGTATTTGAGCTATTTGTTTTTATAAAATAGTTTTTATTTTTCGATGTTCATGTTACGGGCGATCAAATGTTTAGTTAAATGTTTAGTGTTGGCAAATTGGTTGTTAAAAACTTGAAATTGAATGATATATACTATTGAGAATAGCAGCCGATCTATTTTTCGATTGATTGAGTAATAATTGGACCATAAACGGATTGTTGATTATCTATTTGATGGACATATTGTGAGAAAGTTTATCAACGTAAGATTTTAGTTTAGAATTGGGAATGGTCATTTTTTTGCAAAAGATTCAATGTCAAAAAAAGATATAATTTATGCAATTAAAAACAAGCAGACATAGAATGTGTTTCTTTGATTGGATGCTTCATAGCAACGAATATCCGTCGATTAATTATAAGGAGAGGAATATTATTCACAAAATTCTGATAGTCACGAAATGGAAATGGTTAAAATGAAAATTTTCTTTATGTAAATATTTTAAAATAATTTAAAATAAATCATAGAAGCTCAACCAATCATTTAGAATCGCTAAAATTACAAAAGTTGAATACAGTAGTAAACAAACATTAATTATCGTATGACTCATGCTTTTAACATGCGTTCCAAACTCAACTAAATTCCCATATCAACTGTGACAGATATATCCATGTCTGAAATAAGAACGGTTGGATTGTAATACAATATTAAATACACTGTCTTTCTCTTTACTTGACATGAGATATTTTTCGCAGTTCTTACCTTTGACATCCACAAAGGTGTTGGCAAGATATCACCGAGTATCCATTGAATAAGCATACAAATCATTACCCATTGTCGTTCTTTGAAATAAACATTGTTTCTATAAATGACAATTAAATAACGATTGAGTGAGATAGCACAAAACGCTAGGCAATTTGACAAACTGACACAATTTGTGCGTGAAAGTACTCAAGCAGACAAACTTTTGAGAAAATGCGTTTAAGCGCAAAGAAATTGGTCTAAAATCAGCAAAAAGTGTACATCTTTGCCTCACACTTGAGGTTCCCAACCGTGAGCCCAAAACATCCATTTTTCATCCTTTTTTCTGCATTTAAATGCGTCTTCAGGCAAAAATGCATTTGCACGCATACAAAAAAGAGACAAAACTTGACATTTTTTTCCAGCCCAAGAAACGTGACTGTAACCATGGTTGTACATCTCGAGCGTGAAAAAACGACCGGTTTTTCGCTTTTTTTGTATGCGTGCAAACGCGTTTAAATGCAGAAAAAGGGCAAAAAATGGGCGTTTTTGGCTCACAATCGGGAACCTCAAATTCGAGCCAAAGATATCCACTTCCTGCTGATTTTAGGCCAATTTCTTTGAATTTAAACGCGTTTTCTCAAGATTTTGTCTGTCTGGTTAGACTCAACGAAGTTCATCATAGCGCATATTGAGGGTGTGAGTATGGATGTGGGTGGAGTGTATGCGTGTATGTGTAGGTATAGATATTTCCTTGAATCACACCTACACCCACACATCCACACTAACACCCACACCCACCGACACCCACACTCTCATCCACACCTCATATTTTATCATTTGCGTTGTTGTTGTTCTTTTTTTTTCTTTTTTCTCTACTTGTATTCTTGCACATGGATATGTTTGGTGATGATAATGGATATTGTTTTAAGTCAGATGACAGATAAGAGAAAAGTTGCAAACGTGTATATATCAATTCAAAAATAAAAATTAAGATGTTTTCAGACCCATGTATGATCATTGGTGGTACGTTTGTGCTTCATCAACTCATTTTTTGGATTCATAATGGTATTCTTCTACTCATTACTGATGTTCTCTGGTCAAATCGATTAAAGAAATATAAAGTACAAAAGGTTTGTTAATTATATATAATATAATCAAAAAGTATGATGTATCTTTAGGATATTCATCTTGATGGGAATTCGATTCGAAAATGTGGACGAACAGTTTTATTCAATCAATTGTGTCTTTTTCTTCCATTTCTTTTTCTCATTTGTCCATTATTTATGTGTCTAAATGTCCGATGGCATTTACCTTTTCCATCATGGTAACATAAACTGTTTGAATATTATTAACATAACATCTTGACACTTGGGCTTTTTTTCTTTTATTATTTCCAGGCATCGGATCGTATTTGAACTGTTTGGCTTTGCCCTTGTCACTGAAGTCTTCTTCTATTACAGTCATCTTCTTCTTGTAAATAACAGATGTTGCGCTAAATATCATCTATAATTATTTTTTTTTGTTTTCATATAGCATACATCGTTTATGTATGAACGTATACATAAGCAACATCATCAATTTCGAGCACCAATCTGTCTCGCTTCGGAATATGCTCATCCGATTGAATTTGTCATTTCGAATATTGGTCCTGTTGCTGCTGGGCCGTTACTCTTTCAATCTCACTTATTAACAACATGGATTTGGCTTTTGGTTGCTCTTATTAGCACAAATAATAGTCATTCAGGATATTGTATATAAGGTCCGTTCGGTATTAATATTATCAATGCAAAATTTCACGATTTTCATCATTCTCAATTTACCAACAATTTTGGCAGTTTAGGTATACTTGATCGTCTTCATGGCACTGATAAAGCCTGGCGAGCCCGAAAGATGATGGAAAAAAGCAAAACCAGACTGCTTGAAAACCAATAAAATGTGAGAACAAGGTAGAACATTTCATTTTGTTTTAATCAATGATTATTATTGTATTATAAGCAGCTGCTGTTATTATTGCTTTTCATTGAATGAAGATGAATAAATATTCTCGCTCTCTAAGAAAATTCAGATTACAACCCAGCCAATATGCAATTTGAGCTTCTATTTTGAAAAGAGAACAGCAGCACGAAGATATCTTTTTCTTTTTTGACTACAGAAAGAGAGAGACAAAGACACACAAATAGAGAGAAAAATCAAATTGCATACCGATTATGTGTATGCATGTATATGCTTTATGTAAATGAATGAATGAACGGGAACAAAAAGAAAAGAAATGGATCAACTGCGATAAAATACATTGAGCTTACTCTGTTCAACAATTAAATTACCATATGTCGTATTTACTAAAGTCATAAAATATCGTTTCCAGTATTTCTCGCAACGGTCTTCTAGAGTTGGCTCATTCAAAGCATGCATGAAGAAGTTTGAAGGTCATGTTCAATTATTCACTGTTTTGTTTTGCAGCTGCTGCCACATGTACAAATGATTCGACTGAATAATCATCAACTTAATGCAGTTTTAGAGTTAAGTATCTTTGTAGATCATTAGTCATATCTAGGCAGGTATATCGGCATTCGAATATTCGTTAATAGATAAGAGCTTTCATAAGTAAGGGGTGTGGGTGTGTGTGTGCGTTGAATCGAAGAGAAAGATTACATCCACATCCACATCCACATCTGCACCCACTTACCATTGATCACCTGTTGAGTTATTTCACTTTGCTTCCTGGTCACGACGAAACTTCAAATCTCGTTAACCATTCTCTTACACCTACGATTTCACTCTCAATCAATTCATTGATTTACAATCACTGACACTTTCCCTCATCGATTCTATTGAGAAAATCAACACGATCTTGAATGAAGATTCATATCTAAGTCACTTCGTCTGACTTTGATCAAATTTTGTGCTCGACGTACCAACGATCTGATCAACTTAATCAACAATATCTACCTAGACTCAAGTATTGTGATCTGGGCTGTGACATCGTACATCAGCCCATATTCTCGAAACCGATAATGATCTCATGGTCAATCGAGTTTGTTTCGATACCACTTTTCCGATTTGAGGACAATTATTTCTCGAATCTATTCAAACACACAACTCGACTTCGTCATCTTCACGCAATTCTTTTCATTGATCACGGTGCTCAGTTACTGATGCCTCGAATCACTTCATTCATGACGATCTTGAACATAATAGTATTCGCTTCGGATTTTACCATAAATTCTCTATTCGAAAATTCATTGAATTTAGATCGTTTAACAGTTGATACATCGAATGTGGTCTTGAACGGTCACAATATGAAAAGCAAACTTCAGTATGAAGAAAAAAATTGCGTAAAAAAACAAGACAAAATGAGGGAGCGGGTGTGGGTGTGGATATGGGAGTGGGCGTGGATGTGGGTGTGGGTGTGGGGTGTGGGTGTGGGGTGTGGGTGTGAGTGTGGGTGTGGGTGTGGGTGTGGGTGTGGGTGTGGGTGTAGGTGTGGGTGTGGGTGGCGGTGGGTGGGTGTGGACTCTCTGATCATCGACATCCGCACCACAGAGTCACACCCACAACCGCACACCACACCCCGCACCCACAGCCACCCACACTCATTTTGAATTTCGGTACGCAAATTTTTTTTAAAGGTGTTTTTGAGGAAAAATCGACCAATTTTGTCATCGATTAGCGCCCGGAATATTTTTGGTTTTGATATAGTATGTACTGTTGGAAAGCCCGTAAAAAGTTGAGCTAGAACCCAAAGTGTTACATGTTCTTGATTTGCTAGTCGCAAGATATAAGATGATCTTTGACGTGTCTCTAAGATAACTTTCCCTCAAATTGAAAAAAATGCTGGGATCATCGCAAATATAAGACCATATCTTTTGGTTAGAAAACCCAGAAGACGTAAAACTTTGGGTTCTAGCCCAATTTTGGACGGGCTTGCCAACAGTATATACTATATCGAAACCAAAAATATACCCGGCGCTAATCTATGGCAAAATTGGTAAATTTTTCCCCAAAAACACATACATGTAAAACTTGAAGCCTGAATTCAATTGAAATTTCAAGTTTTCAAGTTTTGAAATTTTTAAGTTTCAATTTTTCAAGATGGGGGTAAGTGCTTTTCTCCACCTAACTGACCTTTTATATTAGCGTCGCGGCGTGAGGGCGCGAAGTGCTCCCTGGAGAGCTGTGACCCATGTACTTCTCTGTGTACACAGTAAACCAGAAAATTTCAAAACTTGAAAACTTGAAACTTGAAATTTCAATTGAATTCAAGTATCAAGTTTTTCACTACTGACCAAAAACGTCCACTTTTTGCTGAGTTTAGGCCAATTTCTGTGCGTTTAAACGCGCTTTCTCAAAAGTTTGTCTGCTTGGGTAGCCTTGTAATATCAATATCTCTTGAAGGATGCATCCGTTTGAACTGAAAGCTGCAGATTGTTCCTATCTCACATATCTTTATCTACTGTAAAAATATCAGCCAACTCGGCGACCTTCGATTGAGCAACGCTTTGCTGTACGCGGTCGTGGTTTTCGTGCAATGACTCCTAGGACGATATTTCTCATTTCATTTAATGTCTTCAAATGAAATTTCTGAATGAGAAGTTTTCATTTGCTTATGAACAGAAAACACAAGCTTTTGGTTCAATTGAAAAAACGTTATTTTGTCTTTAAAAAGAATTGGTGTGCTGGATTACCGTCAACTGTCACGTGTTTTCTCTTGATTGAATTCCGCTCTCGCTGGTTTTCTGACAAATTCACGGTGTGTACCGAACAGACTATCGAAATCGACCAGTTCATCTCCATAGTTGCATTCGAATGTTGCATGGTGCAGATAATGGAATGCTGAATCTCCTGCAGGATATGCGTGCCCATCGTGGCCACCTATCGGGGAAATATCGGCATGAAATTTAGCATAGAGAAAGTGAAGCGGATGACAAGCGAAGAGAAGGGGAAAATAAGCACATGAATAGTAAAAGAAATGTTCAAATGGATGCATTGATAAGCCAGCCCATGGACCAGGATTACGACTTAAATGATGCAGACTATGTGCATGGCGATATAAAAACGCCCCAATATCGCCGTCGCGCAAACCATTTTGGACAGACCACCACGGATGCATAAACCGATGGACCTAAAAATATGCCTTTTCACACGATTCAAAGATACACACTTACGAATCCAATAGAAATGAAATTCACGCCAATAAGTAATACTAAGTAGCATGGTCATTGAAAACACTGGTCGAGACCAAAAGTCACTATAGTACGGCAATCGGCCGCTGGCCCACAACCACATGAAGATACATTGAATTGCCGATGATTGTAACCAACCCAGTGTGTTAAAGAAAATTTCTCTTTGTAAATGATTATGTTGCTTGTCTTCATAAGCGTTGCTGGGATTAAACTTCTTTTCATGTAATGGCCCTTGCGCATAGACACTTGTGCGTGCATGAGTTATCCAATACCAGAAGGAATAGAATATAAATTCACACGTTAAATTGAAGAGAACAACACGAGATATCCATTGGAAACGCCATTCATTGGCGTCCGAGAATGTTTGTGGAAAGAGCCAGAGCCAACAGACCACAGCAATACTCAATTCGAGTGCATGAGTCCAATAGCACCAGATAATATAATCAAATGCTTTGCGTTGGCAGTAAGACCAATGTGTATACGCTTTCAGTACTAGATAGTCCTTGCGACCGATATAAAGGCGATGAATGCCAATAATGTTATGCAAGCCAAATGTCATGATGAAACGATTCTGAGTGAAGAAAAATTTACATATCATTTATAACAGTTTAGATCTGATTTATGTTCAAATTTCGAAGTCTGTTATGTCTTTCGAATGAGAGTAGAGATACTCTAAAAAACCGGGTACCCATACTGTCCTGAATTTATGGAAGTTCTATATTTTGTTGGTCAGCTTATAGAATTCGACCCATTTTCTAGCAGATACACTGATACAGGCGCCTACTAATTGTTTCATCACGAATGAGCTGGATTTCCGATCCAAAATTGAAAAGCTCTTCTATTAACTCTTACCCTTTCCTAATGTAAATAGTTTATACCGAACATGTCTTGATATCGACCAACTCTGCCTACCAGCTAATACTTTCTCTCGTTCTTACATCAATATAGATAAGAGCATTCGTTCTATTTGACCATTTTTATCCAGCAATAATACATAGGTCACCTGCCTTGTATGGCGAAATAAAAAGGAGATCGTTCGATAGGCGACTAAGGTATCTCTCTCGTAAAATCGACTTTTTTGCTATAGTCCATTTCAGAGTTAAATGACCGTGGGCGCGTTTTGAATAACTTAAAAACAAAAAGAGAGAAAAAAGCTCTGGTTTTAGGACTATCTAGAGTCGACACTACTCTATCTTTTCATAAAGTTCATGAAAAGTTTCAGTCGCTTTTCTTCTTGAATACATCATGAGTTTTGAAGATGAGCGTAATCGACTTCAAAAAAGAAAGTGCTTTCTCAAGTATAATATAATGGGCAGATGGCCTGTCTTTTCCTCTGTCGATCTACGCATGCCTAAGACCGATAACAGTTTGCAGTATAAAGATATCAAGATTTTACTGAAGACTACTCACCAATATTTTTTCAAAATTTGAGCAGCAAACAGATTATTCCTTCTATAATTTTTTTATTCACCTTCGACTTCGTGACAAGATTTATTAGCCTTCAGAACTTTTCTACCAAGAACGTTATCAAAAACCACACATTGTATTTATTTTGATGATAATGCATCAATATCT